CGCGGGCCTTGAGTTTGACACATGTGGCCTATAGGTTGGGATTATAGGCTATCAACTCTCTTTCCAACCCAAATGAAAAAGCTGCAATCAAACCGCAAGCTTGTGTAAATTAAACCTAAGGGGTTCACAATTTATGCTACTGATGAGTCTTACAGACTTAAAGAGTCCTATGAGAACTCTCATTGGGTTCTGTAATATTTAGAAGCAGAGCTGAGGAAAAAGTACACAAGCTATACATTTGAACTTTGACAGTATTATTACATAATCACTGAATTTGTTTCCTAAAATATTTTCAACACTTCTTTCTGCTTTCAGACTTTTAACGTTCCTGGTTTCAAAGGTCAGCTCGGCTTCATCACCTCCATGTCAGACAATTTCTGTGGCTCCTGTAACCGTTTGCGCATCACTGCAGATGGAAACCTCAAGGTAAATGTTGACTTCATCAAATTTTCTCAAACATTATAACATGTCTTTCATAAAATGCATAAACTGAAAGCCAGAAGTCATGGCTAAGATTAAAACTCTGTATGTTCTAGTTTTTGATTTGCTTTCCTCTTTGATTCTCAGGTGTGTTTGTTCGGTAACTCTGAAGTTTCCCTCAGAGATATTCTCCGTTCTGGAGCGTCTGATGAGGAGTTATTGCAAATTATCGGAGCTGCTGTGGGCAGAAAGAAGAAGCAACATGCAGGTGAAAGCCCTCTCAGCATTGTGTGGTAGTTACCAGTTAATACATTTATCTAGGAAGTGATTCATTAGTTTTTTTTCTTCAGGCATGTTCAGCATCTCTCAGATGAAGAACAGACCTATGGTCCTCATTGGTGGGTGACTCTGCTGTACGTAATCAGTTTTTGTGTTCTTTTGCTTTTTTGCTCATGAATTATTCTGTTTAAAACTTGTCTTTCATATGTTTTCTGTTTTTGGTGTGACAGATTTCTTCGAGATGTTTCTCACAAGGCCAGAAAACCGACAAAAGGCTTCATTCATCTTTACTGAGCTAAAACGTGACCCGTTCCTTTATCTGACTGCATCTTCTGATGAGTCTCGTAAGGAGTTTCTGTGCCTTCCTGGCTGCACTGCTTCAACACAGACAGCCTTTAGTTGCTGCTTTAAGACCTCATTGAGTGGCCGTTCACTCATTAAGACCCATATTAGCAAAGAGAAGTGCCACGATGTGACGCCGCTTCACTCCTCAGACTATGATTATGATCTCATTTTCACCAGCCGTCACACTAAGAAATGCACAAATATGAGCTTCATTAATGAAGACCCCCTCAGGTACAAACAATCCAGTGTTCCTAACAACCCAAGGAGCCAGTCCCTTTCTGCTTTTTGCACACCGAATGCCAAAATGAATCAAAAAAATCTAAGTGTCAGGTTGTTTCACAGTCAAAGTTCTGGTGAAGAGCACATGCATAACACCCCATCAGCCTTAGACAGCCCCAGTAGTGCTAAACCCCAGCTGACGCACACAGACGCCGAGGGCCGAGCAACAATGGTGGATGTTGGGGGGAAGCTTCCCACACTTCGAACAGCCACAGCCAATGCCACTGTCATCCTGGGCACCGTCGCTTTCCACCTCCTCCGGGATAACCAGCTGGCTAAAGGTGATGCTTTAACTGTGGCTCAGCTGGCCGGCATCATGGCATCGAAACAGACTTCTGCCCTCATCCCGCTTTGCCACCCGCTCCCGCTGGACCACGCCTCCATCTCATTTCAGCTGGATGAGCTGCACTGCTCTGTTATTATCACTGCAACCTGTCACACCACGGGTAGGACAGGCGTGGAGATGGAGGCGCTGACGGCCGCCTCCGTGGCAGCGCTTACGGTCTATGATATGTGCAAGGCCGTGAGCCACGACATTGTCATCACGGATGTGAAACTGCTCAGCAAGACGGGTGGGAAGAGGGACTTTTACCGTCAATGAACACAGGAAAACTGAACTGCAAGATGAAGAAAGTCTTTTTCTGCAAACCCAAATGTGTACCAATAACTCGAGCTTATACACAATCACAAAATTCCATATTCATCCAAAAACAATTAGATTTTTTCTGGACATTTAAGTACAAATTTTTAACTCTGAACTTGCCTGAGTAGTAGTCAGGTCTTAAAATCTGTAGGATCTAACAGAGAAAATGGCTTTCTGGCATTTGTACTTAGATCAGTTCCATTTCAAAATCAGTAACTCTTTTCGTAATCCTCCTGCGTTCTTGGCATGATGCTCAGGAGGAGTGCAGCAGATGTAACGGTCTGACTGCAGGGAAGCGTGAGTAGAACAGGGGGCTTTGAGGAGTATCCCGTTAGACCGCTAGATAAAAGGCGGGGAGAGTAGGATAAATGGCTTGGTCCAAAGGACCCACGTCTCTTAAGACCACAGGAGTGTTAAGAATGGAACACCCACTCAACGTTGACCAGAAGCATGAGTTGTGAATTTTGACATTTTTGTGAAATTTCTAAAAAATTTAATTGTTCTGCATTTCAGATCAAGCTTAAAAACCACAAGTACAATTTAACCTGAACTTGGAACCTTTTTGCTACTCAAGAACTTTTTTATTTCTATTCATGAGTGGGAAAACCGAGAGGTATTGTGGCAAGTGGAGGCAGAAGTTTTTTACTATCTGATGCAGATTAACATAAAATCACATCACTTTTTAAACATTATAAAGCTTATGTCCTTGGAATATATGAAAAGGACATCCCACTGTTTTCCAGACTTTTTCAAACTGTCTCTCTTTAAAAGCCTCTTCAATCACATAATAAAATCTGATTTGTAATTTCCTGACCTTTACATTACTTGAAGATTAATTTGTCTTTACCTCTAATTATTTTAGCAAAACAGTGTTCATTCTTCGTTTAATTTCTGTTTAGTAAAAAACTCAGTGTCATACATGAGCTTATTTTTTCCTCTTTCTGTCTACAGACACTACAAACCTACTAAATGTGTTTCTCAGTTACAACTAACTGAATGTTGATGTTTACATTCTGAATGTCCTTAATTATCTGAAGTTATATTTCACATCATATCTGATTTGCATTGTACCTAACACCATGGATGTTTTTTTTTTTGTTTTTTTTTTTACAGTTTATTATGTTAGCTTAATGCAGCCTAACTTTTCATTATCTTGCTTTTATAAAATAGATTTCTGCATTTTTGTACTTAACATGATTTCTTTAGTCCACTTTGTAGATTATATGGGTTTTACATAAGACAATGGTGGTCCTGACTATGGTCTGAGCATTAGTTTATTTTCTCATAATAAAAAGTTGTATTCACTGAGCTCAAATGTCAACTCAAATTTTACAAACATATGCAGACAAGTTTCCAGGGACTTATTGTAAATTTATAGTACAATATTTTGTTTTGTGTAGAAACTATAGGTCTCTGTGAAAAATTATTTCACTGAGTTTGAATCCAGAACATGATTTAATGTGAAGTAACAAGTGAGCAAACTGGACACCCATTGAGTTTTATTTCAGTTAAAATATAAGCTGTTTTTTTTTTTTTTTTAAACCAAGAACTTGACAGTTATTGAAACAAATATAATCTGGACTAATGACGGTCCTAACATGTTGATCTAATTTAATAAAACATGATTCTGATTCATAAATATTTTTGTCATACTGGATGATATCAAACAAAGCTGCTCACCAATTTTCCGTTTTTCTTTTTATCTTAAAGGGTAAAGAGTGGATGGATGAATGGATGTTTTAATATGATTGTAGAAATAACCAGGGGTGAAAGTAAGGGGGTACAGCAGGGTACTGCGTACCCCTAAAAGATTTAGCGGGGGTACGCAGTACCAGCAAGAGAGGGGAGCGGCTGTCTGCTGTAAAAAAAAAAAAAAAAATAAATGGATTCACTGTGTAGCCATGAGTTCCCCCACTAATTAGCCCTGACTGATTAGTTTTTCAAGAACAATCTAAAACACACTTAATCAGCTAATAAATAACTTTTTATTTTTGAGTCGATCTCGGCATTAGGTGACGAACACCGCCAGGATCCTGAGACCAGCACGTCCTCCTCTGGCTCGCTTAAAACGTTCGTAACTTTATTAAAGAACAACAACAACAAAATCAACAAAACGTGTTCAAATTAATGACCCAACAACAATAATAATCTCGGTAATTATTGTTTCAAAAACATTTCTAAAATAACTAGCAGAGCAGAAGTTTAAGATTAACTAATCAACAGTTCAGGGAGCGCTTATTAATGATCGCAAAAATAAATATCATGCCTGCAAACCTAATATCTTACCGGACTGAACAGGCACATGCAGGGAGGGCGGGGGGTGCTTGAGCACCTGCCCCTTTTGCTCCTTGCCCCCAAGTGCCCTTTTGGTCATTTTTTTTTTTTTTAATTTTTTTGGTATTGTTTTCTGCGTTGTGCTGGTTATCAAGTGAATGGACCGTGACACAGTTTCTTTCAAGTGGATGATTCTCGGTTTATTTCTGACGAGACTGACGAGAATACAAAGACAAAACAACCGTGTTAAAGGCTGCCCGTTCCAAGTCCTCTCCTGCAGGACAACTTGACAAAAGGCGGGAACACCTCTCACAACTTACAAAAAAGCTATAAACATTTTTGTACAACATACCTGACGAGAATACAAAGACAACACAACCGTGTTAAAGGCTGTCCGCTCTAAGTCCTACACAAAAGTATAAAACAAAAATTAACTAAATAGATCTATGAATAAACTGAATGTATTTAGATGGAAAAATGAAAAGCACACACCTCTCCCGTAGGACATGACAAAAGGGTAGGGGCTACGGGGCGCAAACAATTTTAAGACAATACCACAGAAGAAGAAATGAATGACTTGCTAGCAAAGCTAGATAACTGAAAAGCTTCTTCCCTTTATCGTTAATGATAGCAGTCATTCTTAAATATTGCTTATGCTATAGTGGCACATCGCCCGTCCAAAACCTATCATCTCCATAATGGATATATAAATGTCTTCTAAATGTATCAGCCCTCTGCTGGGTCCTTATGGGAAACCGAGAGCAGCAGAGATACCAGCGGCCTGTAGCCCGGTGCGGCTGATATATGCAAGTTTCCGGGGGTAGGAGGGTTCAAAAGATTTGAAGGTACGGTTTATAGTATGGTGCGCTCATAGTCTGGAAAATACGGTAATTGGTCTTAAAAGATTTTTTGAAAACAAATTGATTATCTGCAAATAATGCCATCTTTGAGTGTCTTTGCTGTAGTAGTGACTAGCGGTGTAATCATGTAATTTTATTATCACTAGATGGCAGTAGGTACAGAACATTTTACATTAAAACAAGAGAATTAGAATGTCACACGACATTGTCGTGGCCCTGTTCAGGTGTATTTTTGAAGTGGACATGTTAAGTGCAATTTGAAATAGGAAATGTAAAATATGATAAAAATACATTTTTGTGTTTATTTGATTCCTATTCAAGACACTTTGATAAGAATGACTATATATGAAAGCAGAAAGGGATGAGTGG